AACACCGATCCATTATCAGTGTGCACTACTAACGGTGAAGTGCAAAACACCTCAGTAAGATATTGGAATGTCTCTACAATATCATTACTGGTTGGACAGTGTTTTGTAGGTTTAACCACTGCATATCCTGTTGCACTATCTATGATGGTTACAGCATACATCAGAGACTCTCCATTAGAAGATCTATATGGGCCTACTATATCTGCATGTAATTTTGCGAAAGGAACCTCTGTATTGCGTTTCATAATTGAAGAATGCCACTGTTGCCTATCTCCTGCGAATGTTTTTCCCTTCTGACAGGCCTCACATGTTGCTACTGCATGTTTACAATGTTGTTTCAGATTTTTCATATTTACCCAGGGTTTCAACCGCTCATACAATCCTGTAGCACCTTCATGATTATGCAATTCTGTCGTGAATTTATCTGCTTGATCTTCTGGTACAATTACTTTCCCATCATCTGTTTGGGCTAATGTACTTATCCAATGTCTCTGATCGAACAACTCATTCGGTGTAAGAGGATCTACTGCATGTGGATCACCTACTGCCACTACTTCGTCTTTTTCACTTCCCTTGTTAAACAACGATCGAGAAGTAAGTTCTTGTCTTAACATGTATGATGGTACCCTTGACAATTCATCAGCTAGGTTCTCCTCTGATGGTATCCATTCAACTTTGACATCTAATTGATTATATTTAACCGTATCTTCATAGTACTGTAAGCGTGACTCAACAGCTGTCCTGCTGATTCCTTTTACTGGCACCCAATGAGAAGATTGCTTCCGTGCAAGCCATGCTGCCACGCTTTTATCATCAGTTTTGATGGTCACTTCTTTCCTCCTACCTGCCATATTGCTCGCTTTTAAATACATTGTTACTAGTACTAATCCCTTCAGTACTGCATCAAGTCCAGCTACATTGATATGTCGGTGATCATCCTTTGGTCTTATCCAAGATCCATCTTCTGCACGCACCTGCCCTATATACAAGCAAGCACCATAAGCTATCTTGCTTGCATCTACGTACAATATCCATTTCTGTTCAGGTCTCAGAGTCCATAACCCTTGAACAGGGTCACCTTTGTGCTCTAAGTCCTGTTGTATCTTATTACATATGTCAATGATGTATGGAGACACTTCGTCATTTGTCTCTGTGACATCCATGGATACTATACGCGTCACCATGGCACACGTGCTACGAAGCCACCGCGCAATTGGATAATGGGCTACCAACTCACCTACCCACGAGCTTATTTGCTGCTTTGTGACTGAACCCTTTTCATTTCTTTAAATATAGGTGTTTTGCCTTTCCGCCTCCAAGAACCTTCAGTATCATTATTCATTTGGATACCTAATACTCTCGCTTTTCCTAGCCTCTCTGGTTGTTTTAATGTGAAGTGATCTTTCGCTAAACATTTCTGTATTAATTCAAAATATTTTTCTTCTACCACACCATCATCAATATAGAACTCTACGAGATCTTGAAGACCTTCTTCTCTTAGACAGAACTTTAAGATTTCAGTAAGGCATTTTGGTGCTATGCTTAATCCGAAGGGCATTGATACCATAACCCAATATTCATTCTCTAGATATGGTAATCTTATACACAAATAAGGCTGTAAATCTTCATCTATTTTCACCTGTAAATATGCTTTCTTTATATCTATCAGATATGTACTCGTCGTATACTTGCATCGCCACTTTCTTAATGTTGCTCCGCATGCCAATGGGTCTGATTGTTCATTTGGTCTGCTCTTAATTAACATGTTGAGTTGTTTCAAGTTCAATACTGGACGTATTGGAGTTGTTACTTTGTGTAATTGAATTTGTGGCATTATTGTATAAGTTGCTCGAGGAAAATCTGGTTTACATGGTTTAATATATTTCTGTTTTATCCATAATTCTATCTCATCTTTGAATATGCGAGTCTGTTGTTTATCTAATCCTTGTAGTTGTTGTCTATAGAAGGGTACACGAATGACTTTTTCAGATGGTTCACCATCAACCCGTTTCCATCGAATACTCCATTCTCCTTCATGTCTTGTAGCTGTGAAGTCACTCTCTTCTATAACTGCATCTTTTTCTCCTACTATCACACAAGCATCACTCCCTTGTACTTCATTACAATTCCGTACATACTTCAAGGATCCAACTGTATCACAATAATCCATTCCTAACAGTATATCAATAGGCTTGTGATTCATTTGTATAATCCCATCTCTACTATTCACCACAAGACTATTCAACTCAACATCTTTGTTTACAACCAATGAACAACTACCATATATAGGAACTGCACCAGCTAATGATGTCACTCTATCATTATTTCGTACTTCATTAACGTCATTACCAATCGCTTCAGCGACCTTCAACGACGACAATGTTCTCGAGCAACCAGTATCAAGAACTGCTATCACTGTGATGTCACCTACGATAACATATTTCGAAGGATGTCCCACATCACATTCATCCTTCCACTCACTACCTACCTTCATCCGTTTATTTGGTGAGTCATCACTGTCCTCATCACGACTTCTTTTACCTTTTCCTTTTCCTTTTCCTTTCCCTTTTCCTCCTTTACTATACCAATGTCCTTTACCCCATGGTCGCCATTCATACCAACCATTTCCTTTGCCAAAACCTTTACCATTTCCTTTACCGAAACCTTTACCTTTCCCTTTACCGCCATTATAACTATATTCCCAGTGACCGACAGCTACAACATTGTCCTCGTCTTTCCTCGAATCATCTTTATCACTGCCTTCATCACCATCGCCATCATTTGCATCCAAGCTGTCTCCGACCAAAGTGACTGCCTCCGTTAAAGTTTGCTTGGGTAGTTTCATGAAGGTATTATAATAACCTTCAACAATCTTTGATCGTGGCAAACTCTTCCAGAACACTTGCACACATATCTGATCTCTTGCTTCCGCAGGCAATTTAGGAAAGGCAAGCTTAGTCAACCTGTGTATCTCAGTAGAATGTCTGAACACATCCTTTTTATATCTCATTTTGCACAACGTACTAAATGCATGCTTTGGTGTCTCGCTATATTGTTTGATCATTTCAGCGATGATACCATAGTACGTCCTATCAGGAGTCTCATTAGGATCGTGATTTAGTCTTCTGTTGTACACCTCCCATGGTTTATCTGTGAGACAAAGTCCCATAAATTCAAGGAGTTCCTGATAAGGCAATCGTAGTAGTCGTGCTCGACTCTCAAATTTCGACCGCCACTCCTCAAAAGTCTGAGACTTCGGGTTATACGGGACAATAGCTTTAGTAATGGCTATCGCCCTTCCCATTTCTGAAGATGCACTATTATTGCTACTCTTCATTTTCAGGATCTCATTTTGCAACTCTATCAACTGAGATTGGACGTTCTCATCCAACTCTCTGACCCTCTGCTGCTCCATTGATAGGTCTTGTTCTAAGTTGTCCGCTTCTTGTAGTCTTCTTCTCTCTCCTTCCTGTTGACGTTGTTGCTCTTCACCTTGTCGTAAACTTCGTTGCTCCTCATCTTCTCGCACATGTTGATCTTCAATAAGTCCACCATCAGTACCGTTCTGGTTGTTCTCAGCGGGGTTCTCTCCTTGACCATTAACCATTGTCTGGGCACCACGTGTTGTGTACTTGGGAACTCAAGAGTACCAAAAGAGGTAGATAACAGTACTAACTACAGCGGAATAAATGTAGAGACAAATTGTGTGAGCTAAGGTGGGAAGGAAGGAGACAACAATTGTGTGGATACATCACATTAAGCCACCCAATAGTTCTGTTGTGATCACTGTTGGAGAAGATTATGTAGGGATGGCTACAGTTCTCGAGCGTGAGGAAGAAGGTTATGAAGATAAGGTTCTCCTTCATCCGATGAAGGTTGAGGTATTTGACGGTTGCATCACGGTTAAGAAGATAGACGATATTGATTTGGTTCACGCCGAGTTAAATTCTCTCATTTATGTGAGCCCAGATAGTCATCATCGGATTCGCGTAATGAGTAAGAAGGTGTTGCAACTGTTGGAGGACATCGACGTTTGGGGCTACGGCTCCATTATATAACTTACAATTACCGTATTGTAGCGACTATTGTTCTTTGACTATTGTTGTTATGGCTAACCCTGACTAATGTTTACTGCTTCTTGTTGAACTATACGGCAGTAATGATGCTGCAGTATTAGTCATCATTATTGCACCCTATTGTCTTGGGTCTAGATCAGGCTCTGTTATAGTGTGAGCGCCTAGTTGCGCACTTCTTGCAATCTTGATCTCTTGAGGCTTCGTAACGACGGTCGCAAGATCGTTGGTTCCTAAGTGAGACGGTGCTCCTTAAGGACAATTATTTGGTCTTGAGGAATGAGCTAGCCTTTATTGTATAGCCTATATCCCATTGGTGGTGTGTGAAGTGGTTAGAGCGTTTAAACCCGTTTCGTTGTTGAGACTCTCGACACGAGAGGATGCTTGAAACGGCTCGACCGTTTCGCCCACTATGTTTGAAGGATGCTTGCAACATCTGTGGTTATTGCTCTACTGTTCCGTGAGATAATTATCCACTCGTATAAACGTTAGGGGATAATATTGCTGTTGTTTCATACTGCATTCTTTTTGCAGTATTGTTATTGCTGAGTTATACTCACGGGCTTTCATGCTTTCCTATGGTTGACGATTTGGACAAAGCTACTACTAAGGTGGTCGAAGTGGTTTCAGAGGGTCGTATTTTGAAGCCGGAAGATGTCTTGGCCATGATCGATGACGTTGATTATTATGCAGAGGCCGAGCTTGTGTCCAAAATGGTCGAGGAAACCAAGAAGAAGGGTATGGACTTTGCTGTTCACTGTATGGCTTCTGGTATTAAGATAGATGCTTCTGGTGAAGGGTCTAACCCTGTTATTGAAGAGATAAGGGATTCCGTTTGGACGGCTAACGTCGACTTTGCTAAACTGACGAAGACGGTTACGTTTAATCCTTTAAGGATTAAACTTTAAGGGTCCTATTGTTCGCTACGAGTACTCCCGCGAAGTTAAGCAGGGTTGTTACAACGAATCTAAGGTTAAAGAACCTCGGCTTACTAGTGGCGGTTTGTCTTTCGCCGTTACACCTTCGATGAGGCGAGGTATGTTCAACCAGTTCGAGCAAGAGGTTATGCGTCTGACTCTCGTTAAGGGAAGTACCTTCGTCCCTGAAGTATGGACGTCTCTCTCCCCAGAGTTAAGGCTTTTCATAGTTACAGGAGAGACGGTCTTTCCGGATGCTAAGCCTGGTCAAGAACTAACGGTTGAGGTACTCGAAAAAGCTGGAATATGGTATCCCTGTTCCATTCTTACCGTGGGTTCTCTGTTACGGTGTATTTGTATCAAGATGATGTTGGACGTTACGTCTCAATGGGAGAATACTGAGAATTATCCTATCCTCCTACCCCTCAAGATTCCTGCTGAGGATTCTGTACTTGCGGAGCAAAGGTGTTATCGTATGGTTACCCACTCCTTGTATTCTACGGCCTTGAGGATATTGACTATGTATAAGGCTCTCTTTTATAGAACTTTACACATATATTATAAGTTGGTCAAGAACTACTGCATAATGAACCGTTTAGAACCGTTTAGAAGGTCATACTTTTGATACTATTGCTCAGCAAGCTTGGAAAAGGTACGAGTCTGAGATGTCCTATATTGAGACGGAAAGTCCCGAAGATAAGTGTTTCTATAGGGCTCTCACAGTTGCTGAGACAAGGTTCTGCCGTGTTCGTGATGGAGAAGAAGAGGCCTATCCTATGGATGGTTCAGCTATGGCTATTCCGTGGGAGACTAAGGGTGACCATGATGAGACGCTCCAGGAAATCGCTAGAGATCCTAAGAATGGTTATGTGGATTCTGCTACTAAAGAACCTACTAGGGTGGTTGATGAAGCCACTGCCGCTACTACTGCTAGTAATGATGCTAAGGTTACAACCCCCCAGGTGGATGTGACTGGTAATGATGGTTCTTCCTCTAAGTGGGACAAAAACTGGTATGGTTCTTCCTCTAAGTGGAGTGGAGAATGGTATGATACTACCGGTTCGGCTTCTAAGTACAAGGTTAACTGGTATGAGACTCCTCAGCTCGAGGGTAAGGTTCTACTCCAACCTGTATGCGACTCTCCGCCTACTGTTACTAATGATGAAGAAGCACAAGGTGGTTCCAGCTGTTCTAAGAGTGTATTTTTGAGTGATGTCATGAAATCCACTTATGAAGGAGGCTCGGTTGAAGTGAAGTCTTCAGAGAAGGGTAAGAAGAAGAAGTCTAAAGGGTCTAAGGATGAAGGTTCTTCAAGCTCTTCTAGTTCTTCAAGTAGCAGTATTGAATCAATACTGCTACTTGAAGAACTAGAAGAGCTCAATACTATTGATGAATAAAGATGATGATCGTAAGATCGATTATTTCTATTCCGGCAATATGGTTGATACGTAATGTCAATATGATATTGTCTGTATTCAACTGTTGCCAAAGGTATGTATATGGTATATTTTTCCGAGTTGGATTGAAGTCGCCAATAGTTGAAATTGGGTAATTTCACGCGGGC